AACCTTGGAAAATGGTGAACTGAAAATTAAGCCTCAATAGAAGTTCCATACCCAGAAATAAGTGCAATTCTTTGGATAGAAATGAATTCCTTTGCAATTCAATTTACTGATTCAAAATCAGTCAAATAGACATGAAGTTAGGCAATAATCAGTATATTTTAAGTCTTACTTCAAGTTTTTGATATCTCAGTATTTCTAATGTATAACATTCAGCGCTTTTTTCGATTACTTTAATTTTCATAACACTGGATATTTGACATCTTGCACCAAGAATATCATACCTAGTCAATAGAATATTCCCGATCAATTTGTGTCTTCACTTGACGTTTCTAATCATTTCCTCTTGTTGCTAGTTCTGTTTTCTTTCCTTAATTGAAAATAATTTGATAAAAATATGAGCAGTGACAGGCAATACAAGTAACTACTATGGTAAGGTATAGTATTAAATTTCCATATTAGACTTGCTGAAATTTTAAGTTCCCAATTAAAGATATATTGTAAAGAAGAGTGAAAGAGTCATATAATCGTCAGCTGTTGTCTACATCATTTTCATTATCCAGGTAAGCACTGAACTATGTTTATCTTTATGAAGTCTTTCTTTCACTATATACTTCTGATAATTATGAAAATGATTTAGATGGTAATTTAAAGTTCTTTTCCTCGGTTTAATCCATCAAAAGAGCGCTTATTTCTTCTTTCGTATGTCATTAATGATTGATCATAATTTATTTGAAGCTTGTAGTAGATTATGAAATATTATTGATAATGATTTGAAACCATAAAAATTCATCAAAATACAATAAAACAGCAAAGTAGACTAATTTGAAATTTTTGAAGATGAAGAAGTAATATCTTTATTTCTTATGGCTGTGTGAAGCCCAATTTGCTGCATCGTGTTTTCATGATTAAAATGAGCAGCGACTAATCAGCATGTATAAAGCTTTCCTTTAAGAAACTATAGAGTACGGAGATGAAACCTGTTTTACCTTCTGGTATAGTTAATGATGATTACTTTAATAAGTATAATATTAATGTAAATAGTAGTTTTTATTATCTCATGAAAGTAAAAAAGAAGAGTGTGAAATGGAATAAAAAACTGACTTATTTTATCTCACTTATGTACTTGTAATAATGGAGTTTCAGAAAGTGACGGAAGTTGCCAATTTTCTACGGTAGATATTTTTCGAATATCATGCTTTTCACTGCCTTCACTCGACATGTTTGCGTTTTATTCATTTGTCTTTTGTTTTCTATTGTTAATAGTGTATTCGACTGTAAAAATCTATTGCAATGAAATATTAAGCGTTTGTAATTATTCAAGTGTCACAGTTGATAAGTTCCGTATAATTTACGTGAATAATTTACTTTAATAGATAATTATCATTTTACACAAGCTGACCAATTAAAAAAAGCAAATGACATTCAATTGTTTAGCTATTAATTATAATAAACAGGATTGAAAAGGTAGCTGAATATATGCAATAAAAAGACAACGTTTTTTCAGTTTTTACTTTAAACAGTTCACAACTGCCATTTCATAGCAGAATTTCTTCTTTTAACCGTCATCTGTATTTCTACATATTGATCTCGAGCAAAATGATAACTCCATATGTTTCTTGGTCTTAACAATGCAAATAATTATCTATTTAATATATTCATTTATTGTTCTTTTCTATTTACGGTATTACTTTGTAATCATTATCAAAGATGCCAATGCAAATATTGGCATCGCTTTTTTGCTTTACAGCCTTTCTCACATTACTGATTGTTTAAAAATTTTAATTTTCCTTAATTCTAATGCTCTTATCTAATAAGCTAATAATATTTAAAATGAAGATAATAATAAGGATAATAAGAAATTTAAGACACGAGGCTGCTGTGGTGATGTGAAGCAAGCATGTTGTTTGCTTTTTGCTTGGGCACAAAATTTTGATTGGACTTGTCTAATTTCATGTCAGTTGTTGAAAGGATTACGTTGTTGAAATCATTCAGTGTTATATAAATTTGAAATGTTGCATTGTTAAGCTATTAATACTCGCATAAAATATAAGCTTTCAACTAATCAAATCGTTCAAAACTGATTTTTATTTTTGTACATTTTTTTTCTACCAAACTTTGGAACTCAGTTCATTTTGCTTTTTCTGTGACACAAAAAATTTCCTGCAATGCACAGTACTTTAATTTTAATGTTTTCAAGCAGTAATAGTAATAAAAGACAATATTTCAAAAAAGTAAAAATAAAAAAAGAGTCTTAAAGAAAGCTAAAAACAAAAAGTATGTTTTCACAACTTTTTTATATCGTTTTATTTTTAGCAACTTTTTTACTTAATGACTATGAAGAAAAAACCGTGCGAATAAATAACAAAATTCGTGTTACAGTCTATCTCGAAAACAGAAAAGTTCCTCTTGTAAGTTCAACAGATGTTTTTTTTAAGCTATTATTACACTTTCCTTATTAATGTTAGCTTTACTATGGTAATGCAGAAATTCCATCTTTCAGCAATCATGTTTTCAATCTGACTGCTCTAAATTTTTTTCCGATTTTATTATCATAATGATGAGCACAGTTTTTCTGAATCATATGTGTAAGCATAACTCCCCTTGGGAATGTGTTTCTATGTAACATTTTGTCAAATTAAGCATAACTCTCCTTGAAAATTTGTTTTCATGTAACATCTTCAATTTTCATCATTTATCAAAATTGAACTTTGTTTGAGAAGTATGCCAGTTAATTGAATTGTGTAATTGAGCAATTCTTTAAAACCATGGAATTACTTTAAATTTAAGTACATACACTTCAAGACTTTACAATTGCTTATTGCATTGTATAATTTGCTCTTCTTTTAATCAAATTTATTTTTTAACTAAAAATTTTAAATGGTAAATAAAATCTCTTGATTGTCTCAAAGTCTTGCATTACTACATTTTAACTTTATGATTAGTTCGAATACATTACAATTTTGGTACCATTAATATCACCCCTAAAATTTAATCCAATACAAAAACATTTTATTTATTCAAGTTGAAAAATTGATGGCTTTCCTTTAAATAATACGTCCCTTTATTTTTTAAATATTAGATACATTCAAAAACAAAAACTATACGTCAAAATCGAATATTTTTTTTTTTGGTAGTCGAGCCTTCTTTTTCAAATGACTGTGCTATGAGATAAAGTACTTTCAGAATAAATTAAAAGATTGAACTGAAGATTGTATTTTCTTAGGATCTTTGTCTAAAGCACTACTTATTATGCTTCAGAATCTTTTGTAAGCCTACATTTTCTGTATTGATGAATTTTATTAGAGTATGTGTACAATAAATTAAACTCATGAACTATTTTCATTTTTCTGCTTTTGTCACTTCTGACTTGTTTTTTGTTGTTGATAATAAGCGTAAGGTCCAAGCAACATTTTATTTATTCAAGTTGAAAAATTGATGAT